ACTGTTTATGATCTTTGACATTGCTGGCCAAAATCTACAGGCATATAGCGGATTCTTATGAGCTCAGTTCCAGACCACCTTGATAAAGTGAATGGCAGGAATATTTTGGTTTTGCAAGGTATGATACAGCATAAAGCATTGTGTATGCCTATATTTTACTGTAGCTTCTATTAAGTGTACAATAACATTATGAAAACATTTGGAATACGGAGGCAATTATCAAAAATGTGGCAGAGACGTGAAGCAAGCACATGTTGGAAGACTGGCTCTGCTAGACTGACAGTCATTTCTATTGTTGCAGCTTTGAATACTTTGTCTCCTTCCTCGCTGAACACAACATGTTCATTTCTCCACATGGATTCACTTCTCTGGGTCTTTCTAAGTTAATCTTTTAAAAGCTAATTTCTCTGTCTCCATTTCAACCCTTACCTACTCTAAGCAACAAACCCAAGAGGATATTTTTACTTTTTCCCCCCATCAATTTCTCCCTCTCTCCAAGTAAACTCTCCCTCCCCCACAAACTACCATATATCAGGTTTCCAAGACTGTACATCTTTATGGAGCAGACAGCCTCATCTCTCTCCCGTGGAGCAGCTGGTAAATTTGAACTGCAGACCTTGCTGGTTAGCTGCAAGTCTAACACAGCCCACAGTGCCACTAGGGGCTTCCAGCTCAATGGTCAGAAAGAACCCAGGATGGATTTAGGGCTCTCACTGTAAACCATAGCTTTTGGCAAACCTACCGTTGAGAATTCAACCTCTCATATATTAAAGTTGTAGAGAAGTGAGAATACTCCTCCACTCGTGGTTGGGTACAAGCTGCCGACTTTTGAAGGTCATTTAGTTTATGATACATCAAAGTGGAAAGGTGCCTAACAACCTCTTTCTAAGGATTTATCCCAAAGAAATGACAGGGTGAAAATGTGCACACATAAAAAAAACTGTTATGTACAGCTGTAGTAATTGGATGGTGCCCATGCCCATCAGCAGAAAGAATATCAATGACACAAAGTCTAGATAGAACATGTAGAAAATGAGCTATCGCTGCCATCACTAAAGTGAGAATAAATAGACAGTTTGTTCTGGCATTGAGAAATGCCTTTGATCTACTAGATGAAGAGAAGATAGGATATGAACCAACTTTTGCAAAAATATTACATAGACACCCTCCAATGTATTTAATATGCATTATATAAAAGTCTACACACATAAAGAAGAAAAGTCTGGCAGAATGTACACTGATTATTAATGATGTTTTTTTCCCCCTAGGGAAGGAGTTGGAAGGGAGGATAAGGAGATTGTCCTATTCTTGTGTCATTGGCAGGATTCAGATGACCACAAAAATCAAAATGATCTCCATGGTTGAAGGACCTTTTCTTAAACTGTATCTATCAGCTTAGTTCTCTCTTCAAGAGAAACCCTTCACTCTTATCTCTAAGGCCTTGACTGGGTCACCTTCCCCCAACTCCTCTTCCTCACAAAGCCCCAGGTCTTTATGTAGCCTAATGTCACCTGCTTGTCTACCCCTCTTCTGCATTGATATTTCATGTCTGCATTCTCAAGTCCATACACAATACACAATTCTGGGCGCCAGATAAGTACCCAATTGGTTAAGTATTCAAAACATCTCTCCAATTGCAAGACTCAAAACTGCATCTGAACCAGCTGCAAGGTGGCATAGAAATGCAAATTCTCTACTCCCGCCTCAAACTATGAATAAGAATTGGTTAGAAGTGTAGAACAGGAACGAGCCTGGAGAAACAATTTTGATGGGTGTGTGTGTGGTTGGGGAAATTCCCGTATGGAATTCTGTTCTTAGAAAGGTTATTGTAAATATATACATTAACATTACAAAAAACACCACCCAAACCCATTATCATCAAGTTGATTCCAATTTAGAGCGACCCCATAAAGCGTTTTCAGGATTTCAGAACCACAAGAGAAAGCAATCACAACGTGGGACGCTTGGGATTGAACTGCCAACGTTTCGGGCAGCAGCCCAACCCCAAAGTGCCACCAGGGCGCCTAACACATTGCCTTGTCAATTCCGTTTTACTGCGGTTTTCGCGACGAAATCTCGACCAGAGCGGACAGCCTTGTCTTTGTCCCGCAGGACAGCTGGTGGTTTTGAACTTCTAACCTTACGGGTAGCAGTCCCTCGCTTACCAGAAATGGCCTAATTATTAACAAACCCAAAGTTGCCTTGTCCACCAAAAGAAAAAAACTAATAAAATAAAGACCCACGGGAGAAAATGTTTATCGTCAAATTGAGTTTTGCCTGCTACCTGCTCAAAGGCGTCCTGGTGGCGCCCTGGGTCGCGGGCTGGGCTGGAAATGCCCCGGCCGTCTGAGTCTGTAAAGACTGGGAGTCGGAATTCGTTTCCTTTCTTGGACTCCCAGTTCGCCCTGCTGCACGTACTAGGATGTGTGCCTGTGGGCCGGCCTCAATCGTAACACAAAACAGTGGATCTTGCGGCAGTCCCTGCATTGGTGTTCCCTGGTGGCATAATGTTTATTTGTTGGGCTGCTAACCGAAAGGTCAGAAACTTCGAAACCACCAGCCACTCGATGGAAAAAAGACAGGGTTTTCTACTCCTCTAAAGAGTTATAGACTAAAAAGCAAGAGTTCGTCTCAGAAACTCACAGGGGGCAGTTCTACCCTATCCTCCAAGGTCCTATAAATCAGAATTGACTTGATGGTAATGAGTGAGTTCAACTATGAATACAGGCACAAATCACAATATTACCAGGGCCAATCATATTGTTGCCCAATAAAAATCATAGATAAGTCTGTATGCTCACATAACATTAAGAGGCTTCAAATATTATTAATAAACATTCATACTCATGCTACTTTTTTCCTTCAACTAATTTTGGAAATTAGTCCTTTCTGTCGATCTTATTATATTAAGAATAACACACTCTATCATATACAATCTATTTACCTTTAAAGTATTCATATACATGCATTTCAATTTATAATTTGTTTTCCTCATAATCATAAATATTTTATTTCATGCATGCAATTCACTATCCTAGAGATGAGGCCCCAGTCGTTTCAGGTTGACAAAGGGCCTGTCGGGACAA